AAATCACTTTTTCTGTGTGCGTGCTTTGGATGTGTGTGCACATGGGCGAAGAAACAAGGTAGTCTATGTATGACCAGACGATTTATTCATATCCAAAACAAGACGATGTGAACATGCAGTGCATGTTTCATTCATACTCGAAGCCGGAGGGCCAGGGTTGCCAGGTTTTCACAACAAAACCCGCCCAATTGCTACTCAAAACTAGCCCAAAACTAGCCCAATCGCATTTCAAGGGGGGCTCCCCGTTAAAAATTGCATTCCGGGGGGTAAAATACACGTTTTTGGCTGGGTTCCCCTGGTAAAATTCGCACTCCAGGGGCTACATATCACGTTATCGGGGTCGCTTTAACCCGCGGCAACAGTGATAAAGTAGCCCAATTCTGCAGGGAAAACTGTGGACTTGGCAACACTGCGGAGGGCGCTCTCACGCAGAAAGTCCAAAACGGCCAAGTAGAAGTAATATAATGATAACTTATGACCTGCAGGAAATCCCTAATATGGACAAAGGCATCCAGCTATGGCTGTAGCTAAAAAAAAAAAGGTAATTTCAGGTAATTTCCAGGTAATAAATATAGTATATGAATAATGCAGTGCTAATTGACATAACATTTATTATAATATAGAAACTATTCTGCCTTATTATGTGTTTGTATAAACCAATTCTAAAATTGTCATTAGGAAAACAGAAAAAAATATTATAGAATACAAATGATTGGTTATCTTCCAGCAGTGTATTTGATTTCTTAGCCAATTAAAAGACATAAGAAAAAAATAAAGCCTGTCAATTAGACAAAAGTCAGGGGGCGGGAGCTTTTTTTTATTCTTTTTTTACATTTCTGTCCCCCTCACTTCTGAAATGATGGCTACCCTATGTGTGCAGTACAGAAAACAGCACAGTCGTCTTCTGCTTGAATGGTTCAAAGTCATATTAAAATGTGCACAAAGGAATAGATAAGAGGAATCTAAATTTTTATTTTATAACAAGTAGACGATTCCTGACCTTAAGCATCCTATTCCAGAATTGGAATAGATTTTGGATTCCCAAGCCTAGGTATTATGGGATCAGATTCTTGCAGTCACGGATAAAAAAAATAACAAGCGTGAAAACAAAATTTAAAAACGCAAGTAAAAATATATTGCACAAGATTTAAAAATGAAAGCAAAGTTTTCAGAATAGCAAACAATGGTCACGGATTGAAAAATAATAAGCATAAATAGAAAAATTAATAACGCATTTTTTTAAATAATAAGCATGAATCAAAACTTTAAACATGTTTAAAATCATATTGCACAAAATTTAAATATTAATGCAAATTTGTCTGACTTGCACACAAAATCATGTTTTACTTGGTTATATTTCTCGGTTTTTTGTGCTCTCAGACATTTTCAGCTCATATTTTTATTTTTGTATGCTTATGCTGTTTTTCCCTTCGCTCTTGTTTCCACATTCTGCGCTTGCTTTTCCAAATGTTGTGGTTAGAGTTTCATGTAAATCAGGGCGGGCTTAAGCGTCATCATTGGTCCACTAGTTCTTGATTGACAGGTCCTCCTCTAGCCAATCAGATGAAGAGGGGCAGTGACTTCACTCCAACGCGCCTCATTAGCTGCCGATGCTCAGTGTTCTGTTCACTTTTACAGGTGGAAATGGATAACTGTCAGCTGGGAAGCATCTTTGCATACAGGACACGTTATATGTGTTTGTCTGTCACTGCCGTATGCCTACCTGGCGATCCGTTAACGTTAAATGAGCCGTCCTAGCGACCTGTCGCGGTTATATAATATTCACCTGTATTTATTCGCCTACTACGGTCACATCGCGAAAGGGAGCAGCCACTATATGCACCAGCCTCGCGAAGTCACTGATATGCCTGGCTCGCCTTTACCTGACTGATTATAAGTCTTGTTATGGTTATTACTGTTAGGAGAGGATAATATGAGTAAGAGCAGGGGTTTTCAAACTGGT